TAAAGATGGCATCTAATGTCCTACCAAGCATGCCAAAATTTGTTTGCACTCCTCAAAAATTTCTGTTGCCACTCAAGAAATCCTTCTACTGTGAACACAAAAAAGCTTGTTGATTAAATGCGAGCGTGCCAGAACTTGTAAACCTAGTTCAAGGTGTAGAAATTGTTGAACATTTCTAACATCTAACATAGAGAAATGACTGTGTGTGGCTAAGAAGAACCGCCACCTGTTCGGATTTTTCCCTAATGAAGAGGACTTTTAACAAATTTATAGCTGTCAAAGATAATTAGACTAAAATTGTGACTTGCATTGATTAGAAATGAAATACAATTGGTAATTTATGATAACTAAACTACGAAACTAAATGAACTAAGCTATGGCGCTATGATAAGTAAGCTCTCAAGCTAAGCTAAGGTAATAAAGCTATGAAGCTAGGATAAATGTATTGAAAAGCATGTGTTGAAAGACTCTTGGTCAAATGTTTGGTCAGGATCTCTTAAATGTTGTACTTTGAGCCCTTTATATAGTGTTGGGGAAGTCTCAAATCCTGCTTAACTGCCAAAAACGTGGCCGCCTATCTCTGTGACATATGTCTTTGATGCTAATCTTCCTTCCCCAAGAGTAGGAATGGTTTTGATCTTTAAAGGCTAGAACCTATCTTCATCATCTTGACTTGGTTCATTAAGTTCCCATAGGCCGCCACATGTCCTTCTATATTTGAATTTTCTTGATTTGTGTAAAACGTTTCCTTTGTTGTTACATGGATCTTCCTCTCTTTGTTATGCATGCCTATCCTCAAGAAATTCAAAAACCAATCTTGCCTTATTTGGAAAACTAACTCCTTGATTGTAGAGTGTGTTGACCCTTCACTTCCTCTCGAGCTGCCCCGTGTCTCAAAGAAAAATCCGTTAGCCTTGATTTTTGGAAAAATGATCTCACCTTTGTAACTTTGTTGTTGATATGAAAAATCTTCAAATCTTATAAGCCTTATCGCTTATTGACTAGATAAGGCACCAAGATAAGAGATAAGCCTCAATAATAGGAGATAAGTCTCTAAAAGATAAGCCTCAACAACCTCATAATTATTAGGAATGGTTAAGGCTCACCTTATCAAATCAAACTAAATCTAAATTAATTAATTAATAGGCTTTCAGTCCAAAGGTCCAAAATCAAATTTTCTTTGTCGAAAGGTCCAGGCACAAAAACATTAAGGCCATAAGGACAACCTTATACAAAATGACCAAATTACCCATTATAAACTCATTCTCTCTATCTCTCTTTTCTAACCTGCTAATCTCTTTCTCTTTATTTCTTCCATACACGATCTGTTGAAATCATTCCCCAAAACCCATTATTTCTCTCCTCATCCTTCTCTCTCTCTCTCTCCCTTCATCAGTGATCCATGATGATCAGTCTCTTCCTTTGTTACACTACCATACCCTGGCATCGGCTCACCATCCTTCTACAACCCATTCTAGAGAGACAAAAAGAGTAAGGTAGGAGAGAGAAAATGACTTTCTCTATTTTCAGCTCAAATATGGAATTACAATATATATATATATATATGTGTGTGTGTGTGTGTGTGTGAGTGAAGAAAGAGAGAGATGGTTTGTGAGTTGGTTGGTGTAGTAGTGAGGTCATCAAATCTATGTTGTCATTCAGATCGGTGGTGAGGAGGTTGGAGATAGGCGCGACGATGAGATTTTGGGCATCGATTCACCTCCCTCTTGGTCATTGTTATGGAAGTCGATTGGTTGGTCGCCGATGATGCCATCAAGCACTGGATCAACCACCACGCCAATCATGATCTCTCTTGCTCCACCAAGGTCTTCGAGGATCGAAGCAACGAGATCGATGAAGTCCAGGATGAGTTCTTCAATTAGTCTAGGACTTTAAACATGGAAGAGATTCTTGGTGTGATAAAGTACGATGATGAAGAAGCTGATCAATCTAGGGTTTTTGGGAGCCTTATCGCTTATTGACTAGATAAGGCACCAAGATAAGAGATAAGCCTCAATAATAGGAGATAAGTCTCTAAAAGATAAGCCTCAACAACCTCATAATTATTAGGAATGGTTAAGGCTCACCTTATCAAATCAAACTAAATCTAAATTAATTAATTAATAGGCTTTCAGTCCAAAGGTCCAAAATCAAATTTTCTTTGTCGAAAGGTCCAGGCACAAAAACATTAAGGCCATAAGGACAACCTTATACAAAATGACCAAATTACCCATTATAAACTCATTCTCTCTATCTCTCTTTTCTAACCTGCTAATCTCTTTCTCTTTATTTCTTCCATACACGATCTGTTGAAATCATTCCCCAAAACCCATTATTTCTCTCCTCATCCTTCTCTCTCTCTCTCTCCCTTCATCAGTGATCCATGATGATCAGTCTCTTCCTTTGTTACACTACCATACCCTGGCATCGGCTCACCATCCTTCTACAACCCATTCTAGAGAGACAAAAAGAGTAAGGTAGGAGAGAGAAAATGACTTTCTCTATTTTCAGCTCAAATATGGAATTACAATATATATATATATATATGTGTGTGTGTGTGTGTGTGTGAGTGAAGAAAGAGAGAGATGGTTTGTGAGTTGGTTGGTGTAGTAGTGAGGTCATCAAATCTATGTTGTCATTCAGATCGGTGGTGAGGAGGTTGGAGATAGGCGCGACGATGAGATTTTGGGCATCGATTCACCTCCCTCTTGGTCATTGTTATGGAAGTCGATTGGTTGGTCGCCGATGATGCCATCAAGCACTGGATCAACCACCACGCCAATCATGATCTCTCTTGCTCCACCAAGGTCTTCGAGGATCGAAGCAACGAGATCGATGAAGTCCAGGATGAGTTCTTCAATTAGTCTAGGACTTTAAACATGGAAGAGATTCTTGGTGTGATAAAGTACGATGATGAAGAAGCTGATCAATCTAGGGTTTTTGGGTACTACTTTGATCATGTCAAAGGCATTATTCGATAAGCTTTTCATAAGCGTTCGATTAATGAGTGGGAGGATTACGAGGACTTCGATGCGAATGTGGGGTCGAAGGATTGGAGTAAGGTTGTGATTGGTTTGGACAATGCGCCTATGGATGAAGATGTGAAGAGGAAGGTGGTTGAGGTGAATGGTATTGAGAATGCACTTTTGTTGAAGACTAGGTCTAGGGTTTCGTTGTTGAGAAAATGTTGGGGGACTTGGTTTGATGCCAAGAGTGATTTTTTGAGGAGGGAGAAGGGTTAGTGGCATTGAAACTTGGATTTGGGTGTTAGATTTTAAATGGGATGTGTATGTATATATGAAAACAATATAGATCCAAACTGCAGGATGATCTGGAAAGATAGGAAAACTTGGATTTTTATTTTTATTTTTTGTTTTACTTGTTGATTATTATTATTGTTGTTGTTGTTGATGATGATAATGATGATGAAACAAATTACAACAAATAACAGATTTCGAAAGTTAGATTTAAACTGATAAGGGACCTCTTGTGGCTTTGAGATATTTCAATAAACAGTTTTATAACAGATATGTTGAAATAAGAGGGAAAAAAATTGAATAGATAAGAATTTCAACAGATAGAAGTAATTTGAAAAGATAAGGGGAAAAATTGAACAGATAAAAAATAATTTGAACTTATAGAAAAAATTGAACAGATAGATATAAATTTGAACAGATAGTCAACGAAAAGACAAACAGATAAAAAAATCAATAGTTAAAATTGGAAACAAAAAGTCCTTTACGACTTCTCACCAAACTATTTCACAAAAAGTAGACATCTTATCAACCAAAAAAAAAATATCCACTGGACCTATTGCCTTAGACAATAGGTAGAGTGTATTTTTCACCAATTTTTTCTTAATTAATTAACCCCATAGCTTAGCTAATTTAATTAATTAAAATAAATCAACTCCAGCCATCACTTCCTTGACTTTAGTGGTGGTCCCATAAAATCTTTAACTTTTTATCTTCTACCGCCACATGGCACAAATAATTGAAATTTTTGCCAAAAGGGTACCCAAAAAAAAAAACTCATATAAATTAGTGATTACCAATTAATTAAGGCCTCGTTTGGGAATAAGTTATTTTAGTAATTTTTTGACTTTTTGACTAAAATATAAGATAGAAAAAATTAGTATGTTTAGAATAATTTTTTGATTTTTTATAAAAAGATGTACAAAAAGTAGAGAGAAAATGAAATCTTTGACTTTTTAATATAGGTTTATAGGGTTTTTGATTTTTTTAATAATTTTTTGACTTTGAGGCTAAAACTGTTGTATGCCAAACGAGGCCTAAGTTAAGCCTCACATAAATAATTTACAAAAAGAATAAATTCATCTTAAAATATCAACATTTTTTTTTTCTTTTCTATTGATTAAGAAATCAATGAACCTGTATGAAGATTTCTTATTTAATTTGTTTGTTTGAGTTTTCACAAATATATATATATATATATAAATATATAAAATCAAAAATTAGTTTGGTAAAAATAAAAAATTAAAAAAAAAAACTCATTCTTTTAATATGATTTACCCTTTTTTGGTAAATAATAATTTTAAAAATATGTTTTTTAGTATTTATTTTACTCAAACTAGTTTCCAATTTTTAGAGAAGAAAATTAGGACACAAATTCTAAAAATTCAACTAAACAAAATTATATATATATTTGGAGCACGTATTTATTTTATTTTATTTTTTAGTTTGGTGTGATACTACAATCCTAACACATATTCTCAAAAGCCTCCATGGTGCCATGGGTTGTCATGGAAGAGTAGTAAATTTGGGGGTAAATTGGGGAAACTCCTAGTCTTATTGTATTTGTTATTGTTATTAAAACGGAAAAGACATAAAACCACCGGGGAAAACGGCTTTTCCTTATAAGGTAGTTGCATGAAGAATCGCATCATGATACACAGCTGTATCTATCTCTATATAAAGAAAATCGTATACGATATAACTTCCTCTCTCTTCATTACAACATCCAGAGAACAAGAACAAGAACAAGAACAAGAACGCTAATAACACAAAAAGAAAAACCCTTGTTTTGTATTGGTTTGTTGTTTCTCTCCCTCACAAACTAATCTTTCATTCCTCTCTCATTGAAAGAAAGAAATAAAAATGGAATTCAAGATGTTTGTGTCATTGTATCTGTTTATGTCTTCATGGGTTTCTGTGGGATTTTCTGAATCATTTTTAGATCAAGTGAGTGGCGGTGACGGCGGTGGTGCTTCATTACCATGCATACAAAAACTCATGCCATGCCAACCTTATTTGCAGAAACCGTTGTCACCGCCGGATACGTGCTGCGAGCCATTGAAGGAGATGATATCAGGGGATTCCGCTTGCCTCTGTGGAATCTTCGACAATGCTGATCTTTTGAAGAAATTCAATATCACCCAAGATGTTGCCTTGAAACTTCCCAAGGCTTGTGGTGCCAATGCAGATGTGTCTGTCTGCAAAACGGGTAAATATATAACTGTTTCGATGATTAACAAAGTACAAAATTCAGATCCAAATAAAAATAAAAATTAAGTACAAAATTTATTTTCACAATTTTTCTCTATTTCTCAGAATTTTTTTCATGCTAATTAAAAAATAAATGATGAAAAATAGAGAAAATTTATGAGAATAAGAAATCTCTTTTTTCTCACCAAAATTGATAGAATTTGTTGATAAAGCAAAACTGCTTTTCAAAATACCTAAGTTGCCCATTCAAATACAAAGTATGTATTGGTGAACCTTATATTTATAATCAATAATAATGCACTACTATTCTGAATATTGTTGCACCGGTGTCCGCTGTTGCACCATGAAAAAATAATAATAATTTATATATATTTTTATTCAAAAGAACTTTACCAAGATTGAAATTGAAATAATTGAAATGCAAAAATTTTAAACTATTGACCTTTTTTGACAAGTCTTTTAATTAATTTAAATTTGAATTTGAATTTGAATTGTATTTAAATATCCTTACTATTTGAACCGTGATTTTTGTATATATGGCTGCTCACTATTATTGTTCCACCATACTATTTGTTTTGAATGGAATACTTTGTTTTCTGAGAATTATAGGTGTTAAAAAATTAGGTTTCAAACAAGGCCCAAAATTTACATGACATGTTGGTGCATTGATCTAAATAATCTTGAACGTTTTGCACTGATGATTGCTTTGATATGTACACCATGGCAAACTTTTGGTTACAAAACCAACTGTAAAGAAAGCATTGAGAAAGAGAGAAGTGTTCGTATATATACCATGGCACTATATGATCTTTAGATATAGGTCTCGTAGAATGTGCTTGCTATAGAAAGTAATTATACGAGTCACGAGTAAGAGGAGGTGGTAACCTTGGAGTTAGCCTACAGGCTCAAAAATAAATAGGAAAGGAAGGAGTTCATTGAGAAAACCACTTGCCTGACTCCTTTCTTTTATTCCTTGCACTTAGGGCGATAATCAAGTCAAGCCAAGCTAAAAGTAGCCTTTGGAATTTTTTATTTATTTACTCAACTCTTCTATTTTTTATCCCAAACGAAGAAGAAGAAAGAAAATAAAGGCTTCGTTTGGGAAGTTGCTATTTTAGTAGGCTATTTTAGTTTTTTGCTATTTTAGTAGGCTAAAATTTTTATGTTTGGGAAGATAATTGGAATTTTTTATGGTTGGATGTGATGTTTGTGAGAGAAAAAGTGAAATGATTATGGGTTTGATGTGATATTTTGTCTTAAAAAATAAAATAATTATTGATTTGATGTGATATTTTCTCTTATTAGCTATTTTAGCCTATTTTGTCTTTTGGTGCATTGATCTAAATAATCTTGAACGTTTTGCACTGATGATTGCTTTGATATGTACACCATGGCAAACTTTTGGTTACAAAACCAACTGTAAAGAAAGCATTGAGAAAGAGAGAAGTGTTCGTATATATACCATGGCACTATATGATCTTTAGATATAGGTCTCGTAGAATGTGCTTGCTATAGAAAGTAATTATACGAGTCACGAGTAAGAGGAGGTGGTAACCTTGGAGTTAGCCTACAGGCTCAAAAATAAATAGGAAAGGAAGGAGTTCATTGAGAAAACCACTTGCCTGACTCCTTTCTTTTATTCCTTGCACTTAGGGCGATAGTCAAGTCAAGCCAAGCTAAAAGTAGCCTTTGGAATTTTTTTTTTTTTTATTTACTCAACTCTTCTATTTTTTATCCCAAACGAAGAAGAAGAAAGAAAATAAAATAGAAGTTATTAATTCGAAATCCAGTTATGAAATATTTCATTGCAATCAATAATAAATAATACAAACTTGACTACTTTGTTTGAGAGGGATATCACAAAGATAGAAAAGGGCAATGTAACAAGAGACGAGCATACCCCCATTCAGGCGGCAAGGGCCAACGAAAGGGGGAGGGAAACAGGTCGCCATATGTCCAGTTGGTGACTTAAAATAGGTTGCTTTAGCCGTATGAGGATCCTCTCCTTGCAAGTTCTTAGGGCCTTCGGGCTTACTTTTAGGCCTAATTTTGATAATCCAAACCGTTCATATTTTATGATTTATTCAGTATATTATACCTGTAAAAAATCAAGTTGATCGGATATCAGAAATCATATGTTCAGAAAACTGTTTATTAAATTCTTTTAAAAAATAGTTTTTAGTTCAATTTTTCAAACACATATTTTCTGATATCCGATTAAGTTGATTTTTTACAAGTATGATATACTGAATAAATCATAAAATATGAACGATTCGGATTATCAAAATTGGGCCTAAAAGTAGGCCCGAAGGCCCTACAAGGACGGGCACAAGTAGAAGCCTGCAAGGAGAGGCTCTTGACTCGCTTTAGCCAACTTATTTTGGTGACAGATTGGTTAGAATGGATGGATGGATGGATGGAAACAATCATGATTTGAATTGGTCAAATCCCTAAGAAAAAGGGATTATATGGGCAAATATATATTATTATATACATATATATTTGGAGATAATGCATTAAGGGGACAGGTGTGGCAATCTAGAAGGTTTTATATCCACTTCCCAATAAAGATGGAGCAAACACAAGCAATCTAACATTAAACACAATGTAGTATATAGCACCAATGCTATTTATGCTTAGTCTTAGCCCTAGTTTAATTTAAGAGTAGACTTGAAAGACGTTTTTGCATAGATTTAGCTTTAGTTTCCTAATTTTTCATGACATCTGTGTCAAATTAGTGGTTTTTTGCCTTCATAAGCATTGATTTGAGACTAAAATTGTGTTTCAATTCCATTTTGTAACTCAATTTCATATTTTCAAACTTGTTCTTATGCTTTGTAATTTTCAATCCGTTGAATTTTATAAAAGTATATGTTTTGTTGTTCATTTCCTTTTACTTATCTCTCTCTCTCTCTCTCTTTTACATTAAAAATTGCATGGAGATTTTTAAGTCCTATTAATTAAGGCAAAACAAGAATCGGGACGTCTTTTATTTCTTTGAGCCTCATACAACCTCTTGTTTTCAGAAGTCGGGTTTTTCCAAGTACATTTTCATCAACTTAGGTATTGTTGGCTTGGCAAACTCGCAAATCATGCAAAATCACCTGATTTTAGCCAAAACTTATGTTTTAGTCTAAAAGTATATTTTTATAGTTTTTGCACGAACACCAACATAATTTTTTTCCCCTCCATTCAAAATAGAAAATATTTCCTTGAATTTTCATCTATTTCATAAGTATTTGAATTTTAGATTTGGGAAAGAAATTTTTGTGGATGTAAAAAGGAAAGACAATTTGAAGAAAGAAAAATAAATAAATAAATAAAAATAATTGCAACTTATATTTAATTCAAACTTTTTCTTTTTTTCCCCTTTTTTCTTTAAGCAAATTATACTCATTGTCTCTAAAATTTGCGTTTTATGTTAATTTAGTTCATGTAATTTTAATTATAACAATTTTGCCTGTGAATTTTTCACATTGTAAAAATTTAACCAAATTGATAACAACTGTTAAGAAATTGAACAAAAATCTAAGATAAAATGGTACATTCAAAAGGAATAAACTATTTCAAATTGAATACAACTCAAAATCCAATTTGTTCATATAAAATATACAAAAATTATATATTTTGACTAAAACACAAGTTTTGCCTAAAACTAGGAGGTTTTCGTAGGTGTGTCAAGGTAACAGTGCCTAAGTTAATGAAAATATACATGCAAAATCTGACTTCTAAGAACAAGAGGTTGTGTGAGGCTCAAAGGATTAAAATACCTCCTGGTTTTTGTTTTGAATCAATTAAGAGGATTTAAAATATCTATGGAGTTTTTAATGTCAAAAAGAGTGATAAATAGATGGAAATGAACATCAAAAAATATACATTCATAAATTTATTGGATTGAACATATTAAAGTATAAAAACAAGTTTGAAAACATGAAATTGATTTACAAAAAGGATGTAAACCCAATCTACGACTCAAAACAATGCCTATGAAATCCAAAAATAATTAATTTGATATGGGTGTCATGAAAACTAAGAAACTAAGGGTAAATCTATGGCCAAGATGCCTTTCAAGTCTACTCCTAAGTTGAACTAAGGCTAAACTAAGGATAAATAGCACTAAGATATATACTAAGTTGTGTTGAATGTTTGATTGATTGGGATTTCCTCCATTTTCAAATGGGGTATGTATAGCTTGCTAAGTCCTGACCTCCTAAAAATCTACAACAGCTTCTAGAAGAATCTCCATGATCTCTACATAGTAGGGTGTTGCACTACTACAAAAACAAATAAAGATCACACTTTTTTTTATGTAATGTATGTTATTTAATCACACCTTTTAAGTTTTATTAAAGTGTGCTATTTGGGAGTGTGATTAAAATGGGTCATTTTTAATCACACCTTTTAAGTGTGGTGTGATTAATAACATTTAGATCACACCTTTTTAAGTGTAATTAAAAATATTTAGATCACATTTTTTAAGTGTGATTAATAGTATTTAGATCACATCTTTTAAGTGTGATTAATTAAAAATATTTAGATTACGCTTTTTAAGTGTGATTAATAGTATTTAGATCACGCCTTTTAAGTGTGATTAATAACATTTAGATTACACTTTTTAAGTGTGATTAAAAATATTTACATCACACCTTTTAAGTGTGATTAATAACATTTAGATGCGAAAAAATATATATATTACACTCACTAATTTCTCATTTGCTCTTGTGAAGATTCGAACCATCAACCCTCTCACACCATAAACCTTATACAACACACTTTTTCCACTACACCTCTATAACACCATATGATTATATATGCAACATATATTATTTATATAGTACATAGACCCGTATTAATATAAAAGTATATATATAAAGATAATTATTTTTTATTGAACATAATTTATGTAAAAATAAATTATTTACTAGAAAAAAAAGAGACCACTTTTGGCGACTAAACATAATTTTAGTTGTCAATTCTATACTTTTAGCTACTAATTAT